CTTCATCCTTGGGGCAGCTCATCACTTGTCAGCAGTGAGGAGCAAAAGCCCAGGACTGCATCTTCCCCTATCCTTAGAGAGGGAGAAACAGCTGTCGACAGAGGAGAGCAGGAACCAATGCTCTTCCTTGCTCACACACAAAGGGGTGGAGAAGGTAGAGAGTGAAGGAAGGCCTCCTGCCTCTCTGTACACTCTCAGCACAGTTTGTGCCTCACAACATTTTCAGTGGCAAGGGCTGCTCATGGAAAGGGAACCAGACTGAGTTCCCTCTTCAGCTTTGCTCCCTTGAAACAAGCTTCTCCATGAGTCAGTTTCCCCACTTGCAAAATAATGTAAAGGATTTTATAAACTTCTGGGGAAAACTGAGATAACTGGCATTGTCCAAGCCAGTCATAATCTGAGTGTTAAAGGAAGGCCAAAGGCAAGTCCTATAGTGAGTTTAGCAATCAATCCCAGCAAAGTCATTCTGACTGAACAATTCCTACCTGATGGTATCTTATTGTAGGATGTTGCTAATAGGAAACTGTTATTTGTAGCACTCACAGACACAATGTAACAAACCCATGGTAAATTAAAACAGTTTTGCTGCAACAAGTGATTTTTCAAAGTTATGAAATGAAAGGTTTGGGCAGGAATTAAAAAAATAGGATGGTTTTGGTTGAGCTGGAGAAAGGTCGTTGCTTTCAGTGATGTTGCTCTTTATTTCATTGTTTAGAGAGTCACTGGATTTGTGAACTGAAAAACACATTTTGCTCTTTCTCAGGCAAAAGAAATAACCTTCACCATCTGTATTTAATATCTTTTTGTTTTGCAAGTGCTATCATTTATTGTATTTTTGATGAGTAAAAGCATGAGATTAACATTGTATAATATAAATTATCAAAATACAAAACAGAGGTATGTAGAGAAGAATTCTATTCTAGCTGTCGTGGCTATTATTTTTCTCATATCTAGTTTAACTTAAAACACAGCATGTAGTCTGGATAATTTGCTCAAATCTGAGTATGCAGCATGTTAGTTTTTACTGTAGTTTAGAAATTTTTTGGACCAATACGAAAGGACTGAGCTTTCTAACTGTTGAGCTTCCCAAGAGCCTAGTGATTTTTATTTTTTTTTCTTTTGGTACAGGCTTATTTATACATTCTTAAACTGGTTTTACAGTAAATGAACCATGAATAGAGGTAACTGTCGTCTCTAGCTGGTTGTCAAGTACCAGATTTTCATGTCTCTGTAAAATGCAACCTCTGAAGTAGTATATTCTTACTGCAATGAACAGGGATTTAGAGATGTTACTTCCAATAATGCCAACATAAACTTAGCAATCTACTCGTAGCATAAAGACTTAATATTGAGGTCAGAGAGAAACCTATGCCTGGCTTTGGAAGGGATATAAAGTTTAGAGGAGCATATATTCCTCGTTTTGGAGGGATTTGCAGGTGTAAACACCATAGAGAATGTATACCCACTGTTTTCTGCTAGAAAAAAACATACAAGATGCTTCAGGTTTCCACTGTCACATTCCACAATCAGTCATATGCTTAAATTCATCATGCTGAAATTAGTCATGTGTAAGAAATTGGTTTCCTGTGAGCATAAAATTTGTTAGGATTTATAAAATTGCAGTTAAAGCCAGTGAACACTCTTTAGTAGTGGAAAAACTGATACATGTGAATATTTTCCAGTGTCTGGATGTACTGACTTCATTCTAGGGCCATACTAAATATGCATTTCTGAGGCCACTACATCAACTGTTCCTTGTGTAAGTCATTGGTTGAATTAGCACGTGCTGCTCACAGTAAAGCCTTCTGCTTTAGTGGACATCTGTCAAAGCATCCTGCAGCAAGATGACTGCAGGAGCATGACTTGAGTGTGCTACAAGAGGTGGTGCAAGTGTGCATGCATGTGTTTTAAATATTTCCTCTTTCTCCTTGTTCAGTAAATTCATGGTTGTCTTCTCACAGGCAAGATGCAGGAAGAGTACTAATGTTAGGAAAAGTAATCTTTAACTTTCCATTTCTTCAGTTCCTACTTCACCAAGAGACGGTCATCCTTCTCCTCTGCACCCACTCACTCAGTTCCACTTCTGTTTCTGCTCATACTAATCGTCACTTGTTTGTTCTGTCTCTCTAAGCTCCTTCTGAGCCCCCTGTTTCTGAGGAGAGACTGGGAGAGTTGGGATTGCTAAGCCTGGAGAAGACTCAGAGCATATCTCATCAATGTTTAACTGAAGGAAAGGTGCAAAGAGGACAGAGCCAGGCTTTTTTTCGGTGGTGCCGAGTGAGAGGTCCAGAGGCAATGGACAAGGAACAATTTGGAACATGGGAGGTTTTCTCTGAACATCATCAGGGAACTGTGAAGGTGACTGAGCACTGGAATAGTTATTCCAGAGGGGTGGTCTTCATCCTTGGAGATATTAAAAAAACATCCAGATGTGCCCATCCCGAGCAAAACAATTGAGGTGGCCCTTCTTGTGCAGTGAGAGTTGGGCTGGATAACCCTTCCAAACTCAGCCATCCTGTGATTCTGTCAGGCAAAGCATTGTTACTCTACCCACTCTTCTGTTGCTTTTCAGCAGTCCGCACAGTTCTCCATCCTGCAGCCTTCTCAAGCGCTCTGGCACTTTGCACAGGCAAGCTCATCTTCATTACCCTAAAATAATCAGTACAGGGAGAGCTACTTGAGGACTGCATTTAGCAAAGCTTCTCCAGAGCTGTGACTTCTTATTCCTACAACTTATTTTCTGACATCAACTCAAATGTTATACCTAAGCAAGGGAAATGCATGTGAGAATGGGCAGATACCTGCAATGCTGTCTGAAATCAATTGCAAAGTTGTCACAGAATTCAGTAGGAACGGGGCAGAAACTGGAATACTGGGATGTTAAGGAAACCTGGGTATGGAGTGACTGATGAAATATCTGATAACTGATATCAGTTCAGAAAAATGGACTGTGAATAGCCAGCAACACAGTTTAGGGTGTGACAACATTTTCACCAAGCTCTGTCTGCAAAGTCAAAATATGATTTATGTTCACATCCTTTACTAAAATTCTAAATGCTGTTGATTCCTGGGGTGGTTAAATTCCCATGAACAAAGTCTCAAACTATATAGTCAACAACTCTTAGATATCTTTTGGGGAACATTGTTTACACTAGCGTATGGGGTTTGAGTGGCATTCCCGAGCTCCTACTCTAGTGCAAATCTCAGATGTAGTCTTCAGCAGGTAACTCAAATCCCCAACTTTAATTTCCCAACCAATAGTAGAAAAGAAGAGAGACTTGAAAATAGTGCAAGGAATACACACAAGTGGCTGCTCTTTTGTTATTAAATGAGCTTTTAGGACACATTCATCTCCAACTAGGTGCATTATGCTCTGAGAGACTGTGAGGTCTCATCCAGAACTGCAGACTGAGCAGCAAGAAAGGCTGCATGGTTGGGTGATGAAGCACAATCTGCTTCATTTTACTTACACTGAGCCTGCCTTCAAAGTGGTTCTCAAAGACAGCCACCAGCAGAGCAGTGTGGCAGCAGGCAAACATGCAAACACGTGCAGGATGTGAGCCACAACTTGATTTGTGAACATTGACAACTAGCAGGGAAAATAATTACCTAGAGAAATTTGATTACCAGGGCAACAGGGGCTCTCTGTGGTAACTGGAAAAGGTAAAATACTGTGTCAAACAGGTTGGTGATCTCAGTCTAGTTTCTTAATGGCTGAGTGCCAGTCTATATTTCCATAATTGCAATGACCCATGAACTAGATCAGCAGAGACAGAATCTAAATGCTTGAAGTTTCTCTAAACTGAGGCATTTTAGCTGTGAAACTTCTGAATAAACTTCTGAATAAACTCATATCTAATCCATGAAAGCACTTCAGGAGCATTAGGAGCACAAATAACATGTTCAAACCACTTTGTCATTCAACATTACAAACCTTGCACCAACCATGCTTCACATTTCTAGTATTTTTACATCACTCATTAAAAACAAGGTGGAGAAACAGCAATCACACATCAGCTAACACTCCAAGAGGAAGAAAAGGTGTATACACAAGTGTTCATTGGTAACTGAGTGTCAGATAAAATACTTTCTTAGGCTGGCAGCACACTGCTTGGATGACATTACCAATTCCTGAAGGATTTATTATGTGCCATTGAAAACAGAGAGATTTAAACTAAAATCTTGCAAAGACTTAAACCCCACATGTTTAGTTTTACACCTCCTACATAGTTTCACTGAGGTCAATGAAACTATTCACTGTGGAAAGCTAAGAAGGTGTGTAAATCTCTGCAGCATTAAATATTTTGCTTGATTATCTCCCCAGGGACTGAAAACAGGGATTGGCAGCTATCAGACATCTAGGGTAAAATGGCAACTTGTGTCATTGAATATTGGCTTAACTGAAAAACAGCATTAAGAGTTGTAGAACAATTGTGGCCTTTTTTCCTAACTTGCAGTGAGTGCTATGTGGCTCCAAACTGCTCCCTGCAGTACCCCCAACCAACTGACATTTGCTCACCCATGACTAAGGCACATTTTGACTGTCAAAATAAGTTTTGAGAGAGAGAGAGAGAGAGAGAGAGAGAGAGAGAAATGTCGTACATACCCAAGGCTTGAAAGTAGACTCTCTGCCCGGGTCGCGAGAAGGCTGCATCGCCGATGGCGATGCTTCTCCTCCTCCCCCTCCTCCCCCCCCTCCTCTTCCCCCCGACTGGGTGCAGACTCGGTGGCCGCAGGCGCTTCGTAAGACGCTGCCGAGGAGGGGAAGGGGCTTAGCGGGTCTGGGATCCCCGGAGGCGGCGCGGAGAGCCGGGCGGGGGTGCCGGGGAGGCGCCGGAGGGGCGGGAGCGGCCGGGGCAGAGCTGGCGGGGGGAGGCGCCGGTGCCGCCGGCGCGGGGTGCGCGGCGCAGGGGCGGCGGCCCCGCAGCCCGGGCGGGCGGCAGGTGCGAGTGGAGCGGAGCGGGCCGGCGGTGCAGCGGGGCGGGGTGGGTGGGGAAGGGATGGGCTGCGCCCCTAGCATCCACGTCTCGCATAGCGGTGTGATTTACTGCCGGGACTCGGAGGAGTCCAACTCCCCCCACCAGACCACCACCATCTCGCAGGGCACCGCCACCCTGCACGGCCTCTTCGTCAAGACAGACGCAGCCGACTCCATTCCCTCCGTCCTCGCTTACCAGAGCCGGCAGCCGCCGCCCTCCGCCGCTCCCCGCCGCAAGGAGCGCAGGGAGTCCGGAGGCGCCTCCGCCCGGTCCAGGACGCCCCACTGCTGCAGCGTCGAGGCGGAGACCCAGACCAGCAGCTCCAGCGTCAAGGTAAGTGGTGGCCGCTCCGGAGGGGTCTCCAGCGGGGCCGCTGTGGGTCCCCGCCGGCCGCGGCAGAGGGAGGGCAGTGCGCGGAGCCGGCGCCTCCTCAGCTGGAGGATGCTCGGCGGGCGGGATGCAGCTGCCGGGAGCGGTGCCCTGGTGCCCACTGACTCACCGCAGCTGCGGCGGCCGGGCCGGGCCGGGCTGGCACTGCTGCGGGGGGGCCGCCACTCCTGGAGCTCGCCCGGGGGGGAGCAGCGGCCGCCGGGCCCCTCGGGCTCCCTCCGCCTCTCTCTGCCCCGCTGATCCTCGCCTTGGAGGGGCTCCGGGGCGCCCTTTGCTGGGATCAGTCCTGGACACCCCGCGAGCGGGGAAAGGGTTCGTTTCGAGCTCTGTGACTGATAGCAGAGAGTAGGCGCCTCTGGGAGAGGCAGAATAAAATCTCCCCCCGTGTAATTCTCAACTGCAACAAACCCGTACCTGCTGTTAGGTTTACTTCATCCCTTTTCCTGGCCCCGTGTCTGGTTCGAATGAACTGTTGCGGCGAGGCGTGGATGTTCGTCTGAGAACAGAATCACTGTGATGCGCACACGTATGCAAGTGCACCTTGCTGGTGTAGGGCTGTGGGGATGCTCCCAGAAGGGCGGCAGGGTCTGTGTCTGTAGGGTATCTGGAAGGCTTGGGTCTCCCTGTCAGTACCTAAGGCAGGTACTGCTGCGACCTGCTTGTCAACGTCTTCACTTAAGTTTAGCACTTTAAAAGAGATGATTGTGCTGGATTTTTTTTTCTTTTCCTTTTTTTTTTTTTCCTGATCAGAGTAGGTTTTTCATTAACTTCTCTGAAAGCTTTCTAGAAATTAAGTTTTGCTTTGTTGCCCTCTTCCAAAGCTTATTATTAAAAAAAAATGGTGTCATGATCCTACCTGCACCTCAGATTTCTTTTCTGTTATAAAGCAGGATACCATGTCACAAAGTAATTCCATGGGCTTAAACATATTGAAATATTTTGTTAAAAGATAATGAAGAAATTAAAAAGTTTTATTTCTTTATAATTTAAAAAATCCAGAAATTATCTTTAGGAAAACATAAGTAAGATAAGTCAAAGAAAAAAAAAACCACCGAACACCCCCACAATCCACTGTCAGTTTGTTTATTCAAATGCTGAGAAACTTGCAGAATTGTCTGTGGTCAAATTGACCATTTCACTCCTTTAGAAGAACCTGGACAAAGTTCAAGAACAACTGGAATAAAACAATTGTGTTTCTTGGATTCAGGGATTTTGTTGTTTGGGTGGGGGTTTTTTTACATTTCAAAGTGGAATATTTAACACAAAATAAAATTTCTTCTTTAATGTGGAGGAGAACAAAATAGAAATACTTTCACAATTAAATTGAGAATTGAAAAAAATATGTTAAAGTGGTAATTCAGTTCTTAATAATTATTTATGATTTGCTGTTACATCATGTGCTCTTATAAACAAATATATTTGTCGACTTTCTGGTTATTAAAACTGAAAATATTTCAGATGTTTTTGAACTTTGTCATTGGCACTGTAATCTTATTGATTCAACAAGGCCAAGTACTGTCTGCGTCTTGCCCTTGGGTCACAACAACCCCAGGCAGCACTACAGGCTGGGGCAGAGTGTCCGGAAAGCTGCCAAGAGAAAAAGGACTGGGGTGGGGAGAAGGGGGATGTGTGAGAGTGCTGGTCGACAGCATGTGAACATGAGCCAGCAGTGTGTCCAGGTGTCCAAGAAGGCCAATGGCATCCTGGCCTGTGTTGGCAATAGCGTGGCGAGCAGGTTCAGGGGAGGAATCATCCTTCTGTACTTGGCACTGCTGAGGATGTACCTCGAATCAGGGGCCAGTTCAGGGCCCCTCACTACAGGAAAGATATTGAGGTGCTGGAGCAAGTCTAGAGAAGGGAAACAGGGCTGTTCAAGAGTCTGAAGCATAAATCATATGGGGAATAGTTGAGGAAGCTGAGGGTGTTTCTCCTGGAGAAAGGATGCCCAGGGGAGACCTTATTGCTCTCTACAACTACCTGAAAGGAGGATGTAGCCAGGTGGAGGTCGGCCTTTTCAGGTGACAGGATGAGAGGAAATGGCCTCAAGTTGCACTAGGTGTGGTTCAGGTTGAACATCAGTAAGAATTTCTTCATGAAAAGTGTTGTGAAGCATTGGAATGGGCTGCCAAGGGAGGTAGTGGAGTCACTATCCCAGGAAGTGTTCAAGAAACAATTGGCTGTGGCACTTAGTGCCACAGTCTAGTTGACAAGGGGGATTGGTCAAAAGTTGGACCCAATGATTTTGGACATCTTTTCCAACCTAAGTGATTCTGTGATTCTGTAATTATTTTCTGTAGTTTCAGTTCTTTTTACTAATTATGGGTTTGTTAGGTTTTCTGGTTTTTGGGTTTTTTTAAAGTTATTGACAAACTGTTTCAATTATATAGTAGAAATATTCTCATTCTTATAAAAATTAAGATATGTAAAATTTTTTATACAATTTTTAAAGTTGAATTAGAGACTCTATTCTTACTCCCAATCTTGGCACAGTTTCGTACAGGTTGTCTGACTAAAGCAAGTTTGGACTATTATAGAACTATCATAAAGGCAAAATCATATATGATACCTGATGGGCTATAAGTGGAAAAGTGTGGAAATATGTTTCTCTAGTAGTATATGATAACAATATTTATTTCCATAGAAGTTCAAAATGAAAATATTTATTTTGGTACAGAAGGAGTATCTAGCAATACTACATGGTTTTAACTGCTGTATTGCTTAGTTGCATGTATCAGCCATATTTGATATTCCATACCATGTGGTGTCGTGCTCAGTATGTAAAGTGGGGGGAAGAAGGAGGAAGAGAAGGATGTTTGAAGTGATGGCATTTGTTTTCCCAAATCACTATGAGATGTGATGGGGTCCTTCTCTCCTGGAGATGGCTATATGCCTGCCTGCCCATGGGAAGTAGTGAATTAATTCCCTGTTTTGCTTTGCTCACATATATATCTTTTTCTCTGCCTATTAAAGTGTCTGTATCTTAAGTCACGAGTTATTTCACTTTTACTCTTCAGATTCTCTCCCCATCCTGCTGGTGGTAGAGTGAATGATAGCTGCCCGAGGCTCAGTTGCCATCTGGGGTTAAACCACCACAAAATCTCATCTAACTCTGTTCAGGGGACAAAACAATGGTCAAATGGCTGTGAGCACTATTATGTCTTAATATAATTTTCCAGTTGTGTAACTGTTTAACCCACTTAAACCATGCTGCTTGATGTTTTGTGTTGTAAACTGATCTTTAATTGTTTACACAATCAAGTACTGCATCATTTACATTTGACCCTGTCTTTATACAATGTTTTAAAACTAATACACAACATAATATGAAACAGGCATTAAAATAAATCAACCTGTAATGATTTTAACACTATTCAATTTAAATAAAATACCAAAAAGCACCCCAAACCAAAATCAAACCAAACAAACCAAAAAAAAAAAGACAAAGCCAAAAAAAACCCCAAACACACAATGATCGCACATCAGTTAGAATATATGACTAATCTAAACCTAACTTTTAAAGTCTATCTGATCTGTATTCATTTGGGGTGAGATAGTGTTACAAAGCCAAGAGTATTTTTTTGTTTTCTTTTCTTCTCTTTTCCTTAATGACAAGTTCTGAACTTTCAGAGCCATGAGATGTGTTGGTCCCATCCTGCTCACAGTGATTATGAGTAACCATTCAGCAGTTCTGGTATATGTGTGAGTTTCTTTGTGGATTGAAAGCTTGGTAACTACTATCTAAAGCTTGCTGACAAAGATCTCAAGTGGACTTGTTAAGTATTAGAAGATGCACCTGCACCCTGATTTGGAAAAGGACCCACGGTTTCTGGTGCCCAGCCATATACTGTGTTACTAAGGTACTTGGTCAGAAGCACTCAATTAAAAAACAGACATTCCTTGCCCCTGTTCCTTCCTTAATAAAACTAAACAGTATCAAAACAAAGAGTATTAATATCTCAAACCTTACCTCATCTTTATATAAAGATACAAGGCATTTAGCTTACATCACTGAAGCATAGCTTTGAACATGGAAAGATGCTAACTGTATAAAGGCTGATTGACCCATTGCTCAACTATTGCTGGTTCTGAAGTGCAACAGAACCAGCAAGGTTTAGCAAGGAGTAAATAGTTTCTTGGACACTTCCTTGGAGATTTAAAAAGGTAAAAAAAGTTTACCTTATCTTTGTTTGCAAGTACATCTTTTAATTATGGCCAAATCTTAAGCAGAAGTGTGTGAATAGATTCTTCTTTCTTGAACATCTTGAGGCTTTGGCGTTAGCCAAACTTAAAAAACTACAACAACAGACAAGTTTCAAAGCTCTTGTTGCTAATATGTAAGCTAGATGGAAAAAAAACCAAAACCATCTGCAGTCTTCTATTGATTACTTTATTGTATTTTTCATCTTGAAATTACAAGAACAGCAGGTGTAATGGTTTGGGTTTTCTTATGCTGTGTTCTTTGTGGAAGAGAAAGGTCTGTTTATGAACCTCCATTGATCAGTCACAATAGGAGCAGGTTTTGACAGTTTTCAGGCTTTTTATAGCAAAATGTTTATTAGAAGCAAAGCTCAGAAATAAGAAAAACTACATGGGACAGTATCTCTTACCAGCATTGGTCTGTGTTAAGTTCCAAGGTGGAAGTGTTGGAGTGGGTGTATCCTTCTCAAAATGTCAAGAACCTATCTTTTACAATTTTTTTCCTATATCTGGGGGAATATGTAAAAAAATGCAGCTGCCAAATACAAACTGGAGAGCATTGAGAAATCCAGGTACTGAGAAAGTCGCATCAGGTCCATGGGTACCAGAGAAATGCAGTCATAAGCATTGCCTTGATTTTGAGTACAGTTCTTCCCTTTAAAGCAGGATCATGTGTAAGAAAAATCACTGTATTTCCTGTTCTGTTTGAAGTATACTCTTGTTTAATTGTCAGCTAGTAAGTTCTG